CGTGTGGGTCTCCACGTAACATCCTGTTTGTTTACCTGAGTGGTGCACCGGCCCGGAACCAATCGACGGTCCCGAGCTGCACGCCTCCGGCTATGTTTGTCCGGTCCGGGAAAACGTCGGAGGAAAAGAGGTAAACGAGCAGGAATCCAGGTGAGAATAAGACTTCTCTTAAAGCGTGGTTTATCTAGTAAACATCGGCGCGATCTTCTAGCTTCTTGTCCTTTGTTTGGTGACCTGAGCGCCACTTCTGCATTCCCGCCAGGCCGCGTCCATCCGTCCAAGTTTTTTAAGGTTGGTTTATCCTCATTCCTCAGTGGTTTCTCCTCCTGTTCCCTCCATAAGTGGTTTTTATAAACACCGTGGATCTAACCCGGCTAATTTACGTCCACTAACTCCAGCTGTTTCTGTAGTTTCTGATTCCTCCACCTCACTCAGCATGGCTCTATTGAACACCCGCTCTGTTAACAATAAGTCCTTCCGGCTCAATGATCTAATTCTCTCTAAAAACCTGGATTTTCTGTTTCTGACTGAAGTTTGGCAGCAAACATCCGATTATTCTGCTCTGATTGAACTCTGCCCGAGTGGTTATTCTTTTCTTAGCCAGCCCCGGGGTTCTGGTCGTGGTGGAGGCCTAGCTGTTGTTTTCAGAGACCATCTTCCATGTAGCTCTACAACCTCTGGTCACTTTGCTTCCTTTGAACTGCACCGTTCAAATCGTCCACCTGGTTCAAACAGTTCTTTCCTTCAGGAGTTTAGTGACTTTCTATCCTCCACTGTGAAGCTGTCCAGACTGGTGATTGTTGGTGACTTTAACATCCACGTTGATGATCCCTCCGATCTCTTTGCCATGAATTTCTCCAGCCTTATGGACTCCTTCGGCTTTACCCAGCATGTTTCTGGCCCCACACACACCAGGGGGCACACTCTAGACCTTGTTTTTACCCTGATTCTAAATGCTGACAGTGTTTGTCCTGAGGATGTTTATATTTCAGATCACCATTGCATTTTCTTTAACGTGTCAGTTTCTGCGTCCCCACCTCCTGCTCGCCGTCTGGTTAGTTCTTGTTTTCTTAATGAGAGCACAGCTAGCAATTTTTCTGCTGCTTTTGATCCACCCTGTTCTTCTGATAACGACCCAGATTCCTTAACTTCTCAGTTTAACGAGTACTGCCTCACCATTCTGGACAACATCTGTCCTGTCAGAACCAGATCAGTTCCTGCAGTGAACCCTACTCCCTGGTTTAATGACAGCCTTCGCAGCCTGAAGCGCCAATGCAGAAAAATTGAGCGCTTGTGGAAGAAAACCCATCTCCACGTCCATCTGCTGCACCTAAAGGATCTTCTGACATCCTTTAACTCTGCAGTCAGAGACGCGAGGGTTTCCTATTTTTCCAATCTGGTGTCCCAGAACAAAGGGAACCCCAAGGTGCTGTTTAACACCATCAGCAGCATCGTCTCTCCTGCCTCTCCTACAGCCTCCATCCACTCTGTTGCAGACTGTGAGAACTTTCTGTCTTTCTTTGTGGACAAAGTCAATAAGGTTAGATCTAGCATCTCTCCTTCAGCCTTATCGCTGCCTCTCCCGACTCCAACCAGGTCCATCATCCTAGATAACTTTGCTCCTGTTTCTTTGCCTGAGTTAACCAAACTAGTTAACTCTATGAAGACCTCTGCATGCCCCTCCACATCTTACCCTCATCTTTGTTTAAAAGTGCTTTTCAGTCCATCGGTCCCAGCGTGCTCTCTATAATTAATGCTTCTCTGGTTTCTGGTCAGGTCCCTGCTTACTTTAAGAACGCTGTAATCCACCCGCTTCTTAAAAAACTGAGTCTCGACCCCTCTCTCCATAGCAGCTTCAGACCCATCTCTAAACTTCCGTTCATCTCCAAGATCTTGGAAAAGGTTGTGGCTAAACAACTCACAGCTGCTCTTGATGAACATGACATCTATGATAGCTTCCAGTCAGGTTTTCGTAGAGCTCATTCTACTGAAACAGCTCTTCTTAGAGTCTCTAATGACCTTCTGACTCACAGTGATGCAGGGGACTGTTCTGTTCTGGTCCTGCTGGACCTGACTGCAGCCTTTGATACTGTTGACCATCACCTGCTACTGGAGAGGCTGAGAGGTTGGGTAGGCCTATCAGGATCTGCTCTGGAGTGGTTCTCCTCTTATCTTTCTGAGCGTTCCTTTTCTGTGGCCGTCTCCAAGTTTAGGTCCTCTACCACCTCTCTTACCCATGGTGTCCCACAAGGTTCTGTGCTGGGGCCTCTGCTCTTCCTCCTCTATCTGCTTCCTCTTCAGCACATCCTGAGCTCCTTCAAAGGAATCTCCTACCATCTTTATGCAGATGACATCCAACTGTACATCTCCTTTAAGCCCCATGAGATGTCTAAGCTGCAGCTGTTACACACCTGCTTAGACTCTATCAGAACCTGGATGGTGGGAGCTTTCTTCAGCTGAATGAAGATAAGACTGAGATCCTCATCTGTGCCCCAGACAAGCTGGTTCCCAAAGTCAGAGACTCTCTTGGTCAGCTTGCTTCCCACACCAAACCTTCTGTCAGGAATCTTGGTGTGACCTTTGACCCAGATCTCACCCTGGATTCTCATGTCAGTTCTCTTGTTCGCTCTTCCTTCTTCCATCTCAGGAACATTGCTAAGCTGAGTCCCATTCTGTCTCGCTCTGAACTTGAGACAGTTCTCCACACCTTCATCTCCTCACGCTTAGACTACTGTAACTCTCTTTTCACGTGTCTGAGCAGAACCTCCCTGAACCGTCTACAGGTGGTTCAGAACGCCTGTGCTCGGCTTCTGACCAAGTACTCCAAACACACCCACATCACCCCGCTTCTCCTCCAGCTTCACTGGCTGCCAGTCAACTCCAGGGTTCATTTCAAGATCCTGGTTCTGGTCTATAGGGCCTTACATGGACAAGCACCATCTTACATTGGTGATCTTCTTAGTCCCTACACCTCCAGCAGGTCCCTGAGGTCCAGTAATCAAAGCCTACTGGTTGTGCAGCACCAGGCTAAAGGTCAAAGGTGACAGATCATCTGCTGCTGTGGCCCCCAGACTCTGGACCTCTCTCCCCCTGAGCCTGAGATCAGTGGACTCAGTGGTCTCCTTTAAAAAGCAGCTGAAGACTCACTTGTTCAAGCTGGCTTTTGTATGACCTTCTTCACCTCTCTCTCTTTATTCTGCTCTCCCCACCTATTCCACCTTCCTCAGGATCCACTGATTTCCCTATTTCCTACTCACTCTCTCTCTTTCTTTACATTTTTTCTTTTAAATCCCAGTTGCCTATTTTTGCTCATTTTAAATATATTTTTAAACATTTTCTAAATGCTTTTTTATATTTTAACTTTTTTTTGTTTTTGTGAAGCGCCTCGTGATTTTTATCTTGAGAGGTGTTATAGAAATGATATTTTCTTCTTCTTCTTCCATTTTCTCTAAAAAACACTTCAAATTAGAAAAAATGTGTAAAAAAACCATCAAACTGGTTTCTGTCAGTTTTTGGTTCAGGAACTATGTGCCTAGAATGAGTTGCTAGACAAAATCGCCGATTGTGACATCACAACAAGGACAATTAGCGTACAATACCCACCACCACCACCTGTCTTCACTGGAGGAGCAATGGCTCTACTCCAAGCCCCTCCCTTATATATGAGCTCCTCACCTCAAAGCAGCCAATCAGGGGATTGGTGGGTGTGGCCGGCAACAGCTTGTTTTTCCTAAAGTGACAGAAACAGCTCATTCAGGAAGGTCCTGAAACTGTCAAGAATAAAACTGCTCTATGCTTTATGTAACAGAGATTAAATGCAAAAATAATAAAAACACGTTTTGTATCAAGTACATGATTTTAAAAAGTCATCATTTGACCCCTTTAACTTCCAAAGTAGAATAAAAGTATAGATGGAATAAACCCTCCTGCCTCCTGAAGCTGCAGATCTGATCCCAGACCTTTAACCACCACAGATCAGAGCTGCTGCCAGCAGAAGCGATCTGCTTCAGGAGGTCTGCTGCAGCTCCACATGTTTATTTTTATGCTTTTGCAGACACTTCCATCCAAACTGACTCACAGCTTAACCCGACATGCATGTTTCTGGCCTGCAGAAGGGAACTGAAGTACCTGGAGAAAACCCATGTTTGCATGGGGAGACCATGCTAATTCCACACTGAAAGGCCACAACTGGGATTCGAACCAGCAGCCCACTTGCTGTGAGTTAACAGACATACTAACTGTGTCACCACATGTGTGGTCAATGTCCAGCTGGGACTCTCGTGACTGTGTTGGACTGTCTCACCCTGAGGTCGCATTGCGTGATTCCCTACTTCAGACCCACAAGCAAACCAGACACAAGATGAGTGTTTCCTGAAAGATGGGGGGGAGATTCCTGCAAGGAACCTCTAGGTGAGTCGGGTGACTTTCTCCTGACCCCTCCCACTCTTGACACAATCGTTCAGAGCAGCTTCCCATAACCACACACACCATCTGAGCCAGTAACTTCCTGAACATAGATGCTTGACGTGTGTATTATGTACACTCGTGTTTGTGAGTTTCTGTATCAAACTGGACCAGAACCTGATGCCGAGTCATACCGTGAGGTACCAGAGGGAAGCCAGAGCCTTAAACCTGAATTTAACCATCTTCCATTCAGAATCGGACCTATCGGATGAGGAGTTTCGCCTCCCAGAGCAAAGATGCTCTCTCACTGGAAACGCTTTCCTCCTCCTTCTGAGTTTTCTTGGTGCTCAGAAAGTTACACAATAAAATGTAAAGTAGCACTTCTCCTCTCCTGGACCGTGTCTGGTTACAATCAGCATGGTTCTTCTCTATGTTTGTGTGTTTTTAACGCGAGTCAGTCGCAGCACCGCCTACTGCCACCAGTGCCCCTGCACTTGGAGCCGATTCCTACACTTAAGTAATGATCTTCTGGAAGCAGACCTTCTGTGTTGGACTGTGTTCTCCAGCGTGAACGCCACAGGTCGAGTTAAACTTACAGACTCTGAATCCTGGGCCGCGGGTGCCGTCTCCTCTTCCTCCTGCTTCACCGCTGCTGTACAGCGTGGTCACGTTGCCTCGCTCGCAGTGGTTGACACATCGGTCCTGGCTGCAGAGCACCTTGCAAATTGTCGGCGTGAACATCACCTGAAATCTCTCCGTTCCTCCTTTCCCTCCGTCCCTCCCCCCTGTCTGTCCATCAGCTGGCTGAGGAGAAGCGAGGAAGATGAAGAGGATCAGCAAACGCCCGAGCATCTTGAGAGTCTGTGTTTGTGGTTCTTCTGCAGGAACTCCCAAACGTCTCCACGCCGACTCCCCTCCTGATCTCCTTTTCTTGCTTTGTGGTCGAGTGAAAACAAGCACTGGAGGAAAAAAAGGGGGGAGGAAGAAGAAAAGGACATCCCCTCCTCTCCCCTCCCCTACCCGGTCAGTTTTCACTGAACTCTCCTGAGTGTGAGCCAGAGAGAGGGAGAGAGGTAGAGCGAGGTACGGAGATAATTGGAAGCAGTGTGCAGCTCTGGGCTCGGCTCCAAACATAATGTTTAGCAGGGATCTGGTCCATCGGTCCACACAGACGGAGCCAGCATTACTGAAGCAGGCTCGCTCCCCTTCACTCCTCTTCCTCACTTCTGAGGCCCTGGATCTCTGCAGAACACTGGAGGGCGTGAGGGTGATGATGAAACTCCGGTTTTAGGTTTCAGGGGTCGGAATCACCTCGTCGTGATGTGGCTGCCGTCTGCAGAGTGAGAGGACGGTCCAAGTGGAGACAAACAGTCTTCTGCTCATAACCAGCACGCTGTCAGCTGCTGAGCTGATCTGTTGTCGAACACAACACACCTGGATTCTGATTCCCACCTCGTTTTTTCCTCTGATTAAACTCATCACATCCGTCTTTGGTTTCTGATGTTACCGCTGACTCAGGGCGTAGAAACGTCTCAGCTCCAGTCCAGAAGAAGCAGATGTTCATGGATCTTGCATCCCTTTTTTCACGGTCGACCACTGGATGGATCTCTCGGCAGCCACACCATGCTGGTCTGTCTGCATTTGACTGAAAATTCACCAAAAATGTTGCCTTCATGCAAAAATGAGTGAAAGAACAATGAGTCCACGGATAGCTGATGATTTAAAGGTGCATTATGGAAGTGTGACAGCCAAAACATGTATAGAAATAATAAATGTCTTCTTCATACATTCTCCTGCAATGCCCTGGTCCTGTAGAATGAGCCCTGGCATTTTTACTGTGATTGCCTGTTTTTCTGTAAAATCACAGAAAAAGAGAGATGCTCGGGTCGAGCAGGCTGCTTCATGCGCGTTCACGCTCAGGCATAGCCCGTAGCATTTGCTATCCGTAGCTTTAGCAGCAGAGAGAGAGGCAGTGCCACTTTGTCGCTGTTCCTAACGCCTAGTGACAAAGCTAGCTACATTTCTGAGGACCCTTAGCTACTTTCTGTAGAACGTTCTTCTAGATATTTCCTGCAACTTAGCATCAAAATAGACATTTTCACTCCGAAATGTTACAGATGCTGTGAATGTTACTAGACTGTAGCTCACCTTGTAAGATGTCTGACTCCCATGTGGAAGACCTGGGTTCGATTCTGGATGTGAACATAGTTTATTTAGAGTTTATTTTTTACATTAATGGTATATTTTTTACAGTAAGATGCCCAAATTTTTATTTGAGACTCGCCGAACGGCATTGAATTCACAGATAAAAAAGATGTGGGTTCAACTTTCATTTTGGAACAATTTTTCAAGCAAGGGAAGGGAATGATCTGAGCATGCAGGAGGACTGACCCATCATAAACCTTTGTCGGCTGTGCTGAAGAGAAAGGTACAGAACCAAATTATTTAATTAATTAGCTGCGCGTTCTCCTGTCCTCTGTCCTCCGGGCCACACACACACACACGCACACACACAAGACTGTCTCAGCTGTTATTTCCGTTAAGGAGTGTGTACGTACAGCATGCGCGCCTCGTGCACGAGTCTACTATTGAAGCTGCCGTTACGCTTTTGGCCTGAGGGGGCGATCACGAGCATAAAAATTCAAAACTCCGTAAAGTCCCTTTAATCATCTAGGGCAATCAGTCAAAGTCAGATGGACAATCTCAGCCCATCTGCTAGATTTTCTGTGTTGTGTCCTTTCAAAATAAATAAAGAAGGGGTTAGGGTGTCCTGTTAACCACCGTGATTAATCCTCTGACTGGACTGGACAGATGTCTGACCACAAGAACCGATCGGTTGGACTGAACCGGTTTTCTAACAGGACCCGTTTAATGGAGAGAAGGATGTTGGGCTGAACGGAGCGCTTGTTCCTGCGGGTGTTGGTCTATGAGCTCATGTCCTGAGTGGATGAGGTCTGAGGACTGACGTAAAGCCTGAAGCAGTCAGGCAGAAACATTACAAACGTGTTTTTACAACAGCATCAACACTAAAACCGTCGCTGGTTTCTTTACAGTCCAGCCAGACGTTGGGGCCGTAGCGGGACACGGATGCGAGCTGGAACCTTCAGTGTGGGCCCGTGTGAGGGACTCTAACCACCTACACTGTGTCCGTTGACTTTTCCTCCTGAAAACTCACATTTATGGTGCCTTCTTCATCAGGTTTTTCTGGAAAAAGTAAATTTACTCTCAACGTGAATTTAAAAACTGTACACAACGTTGACAGAATCATCATGTGTAAACTGTATTTTATATTTATTCGGGTTTGTTACTCTGATCGTGACCTTTCTTGCTGATCAGAATCATAGGCGTGAAAACCTTTCCACAGCATGATCTCTGCAGGTTTAAGGAGTTTAAAACGTCTTCTGTGTGAAACACGACCCTGATTCTTAAGCTAAAGTCCGTCTCCCGTCAGACTGGTCCCAGGTCTGCTCCCTCCTACAGCTGAACAATAACAGGAAGTGTTTACTGGTCTTATCTCAGTGTTCATGCCTGAACTATGCGACTGCATTAACACTTACCTTATCTGAATTACACAGTGAAAACCAGGTTCCATCAACACGCCCTGGATGGAAAACACAGCTTGTCCCTCCGAGCCTCGGACCAGTGATCCTGTTAAAAATGACCCGCGTGCCGTGCTACGGGCGCTAAATGCTACTAATGTGTCCTAAAACCAACATCTGCTCCAGTAAAGACTAAATATTCACTCTAAACTTAAAAAAGGTCACTTTGATAAGATGACTTATTTTCATCATCATGTCTCCTGAGAATCAGCTCCTCTAAATCTGAGACCATGGTCTTGATTCGGAAAAGGGTAGAATGCCTTCTCCGGGTCAGGGATGAGGTCCTGCCCCAAGTGGAGGAGTTTACGTATCTCAGGGTCTTGTTAATGAGTGAGGGAAAGATGGAGCATGAGATCGATAGGTGGATTGGTGCTGCGTCTGCAGCAATGCGGGCGTTGTACCGGTCTGTCGTGGTGAACAGAGAGCTGAGTCAGAAGGTGAAGCTCTCCATTTACCGGTCGATCTACGCTCCTACCCTCACCTATGGTCACGAGCTTTGGGTAGCGACCGAAAGAACGAGATCGCGGATACAAGCGGCCAAAATTAGTTTTCTCCACAGGGTGGCTGGCCTCTCCCTTAGAGATGGTAAATGGCCTGTATTTGATATAGCACCTTCTAGAGTCCTGGAACCCCCCAAGGCGCTTTACAACACAATCAGTCATTCACCCATTCACACACACATTCACACACTGGTGGGGATGAGCTACGATGTAGCCACAGCTGCCCTGGGGCACACTGACAGAGGCGAGGCTGCCGAGCTCTGGCGCCGCCGGCCCCTCCGACCACCACCAGCAGGCAACGTGGGTTAAGTGTCTTGCCCAAGGACACAACGACAGCGACAGACTGAGCGGAGCTCAAACCTGCAACCTTCAGATTACGGGGCGAGCACTTAACTCCTGTGCCACCGTCGCCCCACCCTAGAGATAGGGTGAGAAGCTTGGTCATCCAGGAGGGGATCGGAGTAGACCTGCTGCTCCTCCACATCGAGAGGAGCCAGTTGAGGTGGCTCGGGCATCTGGTCAGGATGCCTCCTGGACGCCTCCCTGGTGAGGTTTTCTGGGCACGTCCAACCGGGAGGAGGCTTAAAAGTAGACCCAGGACACGGTGGAGGGACAATGTCTCTCACCTGGCCAGGGAACGCCTTGGGATTCCCCCGGAGGAGCTGGCCCAAGTGGCTGGGGAGAGGGAAGTCTGGGCCTCTCGCCTTAGGCTACTACCCCCGCGACCCGACTCCAGATAAGCAGAAGAGGATGGATGGATGGATGGATGGATGGATGGATGGATGGATGGATGGATGGATGGATCTCCTGTCTCTTGTTCTGTCAGACCGGTGTCCCTCAGGGCTCAGTCTCAGGACCAGTTTTGTTTTATATTTGTAGAAATAACCCTGGGATCGGTCTAGCTTCACAAACCAAAACAAATGTTCCTTAGAATGAGATAATAATTGTGTTTAAAGCTAAAAAGAGTCAACATACAGTCATTCTCTCACCAGTCTTTGTTACAAACTTAGATTGGTGCAGTTTGGTGAGAACTTTGTCTTTGGTGTCTTTAGTTCTGATTCTCTGATGCATGCTTTTATTTTAAACATTTTCTGTGCAAAATAACAATTTTATTTAAGTTAGTAACAGAAAAAGTGTCTCGAACAGCGGCTGAATCTCATTCTCCCAAAGCGTGGCGCTAAGACGTGTGTATTAGTTAGTAAAGTCGTTTTTCTTTTCCTTTCTATTGCAGCTGTGATGATAAAACATTTATAAAGATCTTCAGATAAGAAAAGCAAGACTTTGATGAAGATCCTTGGTTTTTTTGGTTGTGGGCAAATTTCTACTTCACAAGTTGCGCCAAATTAACTAAAATATGTACAAAGGCTAAACCTCAGATCGGTCTTATTTTGACTATGTGAGATAGAAGAGACACAGCTGAAGTGTTTGATGTATAATATCTGTACGGTGTGGAAAAGTTGGGTCATTAAAAGACTGAAAATCGATACCGATATTTTCCGGTTTTAACTTTGTAACGACAACATCAACTGATGTTATTGGTCGACCAATAACAGAAATCTCTATTGGATAGGGCTGTCGCGGTTGAGGAATTCCCCCTGCGGTGATTCAGGGTGGCTTAATATTGCGGTGTGCGATATTATTGCAGCCCTTTTTTTAATTGCAGTACTATCTAAACATAATGTTTACACATTTAAAAAAGGTTAAAAATTGCCGTGCCTTCTGTTGTAACACTTTACTGAATGCAGATCAAAGGGCAGTAACAACACAGATCGCAGTAACGTTTGTTTCTCCGACAGTCGGAGTCCGACTGAACTTAAAAACAACAAAATTCAGGAGAAGGTTAAACTTTTAAATGCAAATTTGGCTGCAGCATCTAACAAATAAGAAACAAGTGCCCATTTTGTTTAGTTGTTTAAAATCAAGCATAAAAAATTACATGTACCGGGCGCGCGCGCGCCGGGGGGCGGGCGCACTATCATTTCACTTTCACACACACGAACGACGGTGATTTATAGCTCGGTCACGTCCTTACCCACAAGGAAAACCAGCATGTTAACCATATACGGTTTGAGAGAGGATCTGAGAGGGGGGGCAACATTTCCAGCACTGAAAACCCTCTCGGATGGTGCGCTCGTTGCACTAACGCACACGTACTTGCGTGCGACTGGCGAGCAAAAGGAATCTCTCCCGGTTGTTGCTCCACCATGTCAGGGGGGTTTCTTTAGGGTGGATGCATTCCTCCTGCAGGTAGCGAGTGAGCTCAAACTCTCTTCGGGACGGCTGCAGAAGCAGTGCTTGTCCGGGACTTCAGCAGGTCTCCGAGCGTTTATTTTTTTTTTTTTTTTTTGCCGCTGGTGGCAGCTCTGTCTTGGCCAAGGACTCTGGCTGCGCAGCAGCTGACGTACTGAAAACCAAAGTGCTCCCAAAGGAGCGAAGTAACGTTTCGTTTTGATACCAGTGCAGCCATCCTTCTCAACATGCATCATTGAGTTGAACCAAGTTCAGTAATCGCGGTGGCCCATGATGCAGCGCGGTGGGCTTCTTCATATCGCGATATTTCATTTTTGCGGTTACCGCGACAGCCCTACTATTGGAAACCTATTTTGTGAAGTTTAGTAGTTCTTGAATTGGTTTTCTTGTAGGCATGGACGTAATTTTCACTTTAGAAGTGGGGGGGACACGGTTGGGGGGGGGGGGGGGTATGCTCTAATGGGAAACAGGCTTCAACACAAACGGTTGTTTTCCGCTTGGTCGTAGAGCTCAACCAGTGTTAATCTAATATAGCGTAATATTGTAGCGTAAAAAGTGCAGGGGTCTTGACTTTGGAAAGGGGGGGGGGAACATGCCCCCCCCCCCCCCCCCCCCCCCCCAAAAAAAATTTACGTCCATGCTTGTAGGAAACAAAGACGCCTGAACTTGTTTGAGTCTGCTCAGAAACAGGAAGTGGGAGGTGTACCGACCTGTGGGGGCAGCGGAGTGGTCTTCTTGACACTTCTGTGAGTAGAAAGTCTTCGGTCTGGAGTTGACTGATGAAGAGGAGGATGAAGAGTAACTGGAGGAGGTCAGTAAGCAAAGCTTCCTCTTCTCTCTTCTGATGTGCTTCATCAGTAAAGCAGCCATGCTTCCTCCTCTTCCTCCCCGTGATGAAGTCTTCCTCAGCAGCACCGACTGGGCTTCCCTAAGACTGACACACACACACACACACACACACACACACACACACACACACACACACACACACACACACACACACACACACACACACACACACACAAGAGAGGCTCTGGTTCCCTGGTTGTGTTTTCCAGTTTCTGGGTCGGATGCATAAATGTGAGTCTGCTAACAGGAACAGGAAGAAGAAAAGCACCGCTGTGCGATCTGATAATTAATGCTGTGACGGACTAAACTCAGCTGACCCAAGAACAGATCAGGATGAAGAGAAAACGGTAAAGATCGATGCTTCAGCCTCTCTCGCGCTCTCTTGTGGTTCTAAAACATCTGTTTTTTCTTTTTTAATCTACTGATCCTTCTTTACACTTGGACCTGGGGCTGGACGATAATTCAACAACGATGTTTATCATAAAAAGTTTCCTTTTTTCATCAAAGCCTATCCGGTAGCTTCACACTAGAGTCATTCCTTACACCCAACCAATCAAAAACACAGACCCAGACCCGCTTCATCACCGAGCCCGCCCCTCTCAGACCCAAACAGGCAGAAACGTACGATGTTGCAGCGATGAGAGGTGGAAGAAATTGTCCCAGAAAAGGTTAGAGTCCTTCACCTGAGTGGCGATATTTTCATTCTTACAAATCTGACAAAAAAACTAACAAACGGTGGGTTAATAAATTTGCAGGGACTCAATAAAAACTCATTCTGATAACACCAACTTGTTTTATCATATCAACTTGCTTTTTTATATTTGTACATTTTTTGTTTATCTCCTTCTTCTTCTGCTTCTTGTTATCATAAAGTAATGAAATTAAACTATCAGGGCTGCACTTAAAATATATTCTCTACATTTTTCATTTAGTTTTCAATAATTATTGATATCGATCAATATGATATATTTTTAAATTGATAAACCTTTTTCTACACCGACCAGCCCTATTTGGACCCACATCGCTCTGGTTAGTTTACTAAACTGCTGTGAGTTAATATCGGTTTTCCTTTATGACCCAATGAAGCGACTGACATGATAACGAGTTTAGGAAACACAGCAGCTCCGATCATCCCGTCAGAGAGCAGAGAAGCGTGTGTCGCCCTGCAGTCTGAGCCGAGTTTACTTTTCCTCTCGGTTGTGGGTCTGAGCTCCAGCTGCTTGTTCGTGAGAGAAGGGAGCAGAAGAAGCTGCCAGGCGGTGAGGAGCTGCAGCGGGTTTGGACTCCTGAGGCACCGTCCAGTTTCTGACACCTCAGAGGACAAAAGCAGGACAAAGCACCCCCCCCCCCCTAGCTGGGTTTACAGTCTTATTTTAAACCAGTATTCATTCACATGGAGTTCATGTTATAACGAGGCTGCAGAGGTCTCTTCACACCAGCAGGTGGCAGCGTTGAGCCGTTTAAAAGTGACTGAAAACGTGAGAGAAACTTTTTGAGACCAAATTAAAGAAAACACAGCTTCCGTGAAAAGCAGGTCTGAATCTGCTGATCAGAACTCAGGAGAGTATTGGTGCATAAAGTGTTCCCACAGC